ATGCAAGGTTTGCTAGTGACCTAGAGCAATCAAGACCCTCATTCTTTTTGTTTGCGCTGGCTGGACTCCAAACGACTGAAGCAACATGACAAAAGACTGAGAAGTGGAGAAATGAGCTTATCTTGATCGGAGATCAATGAGCTTATCTTGATCGGAGATCAAACCACCAAGCATTTAAAGCAAAGTTGGTGGCAGAACCGGGGGGATAAGTGCTAATGAGCCTGAAAATGTTCCTCGACAAAACACAAATATACATCATCAGCCAAAGACCCTCCGAAACGTCATGCTCGCCAAAGAAACAGTGCAGAAGAAGGTTGGCAAAGCTCCACAGACCCTACAAGCTTCTGAGTGAGAAAACAGTAATCATAAGTTACAAAAACAGCACAGGCCAAGTCTGAGACAAATGAATATGTGAAACAAAGTGTCCAATTCTGATGCATTAATGTGCATCAGAATCTTTTCTTGCTGCTTTTTGTAATTATGCAAGAGTAAGATGTATCTGACATGCTGGATGCATTCCATTTGCAAGGCAATTATGCTTTAGTGACGCGAAAATATCTTATTTAATGTAAAAAGGACAATAAATCTCTCACATAGTTGGAAAAAAAAACAGTACTGTGATTAAACACACCGAGCTATGCAATTTAAAAAAAATAAAAATAAGTAGGCATTTTATCTTCCTTACAATCTCACTGAAAGTCTTTGTCCGCCTACTGTGGAGCAGGGGGGACTTGTTTAAGTAAACGTGTACCTAAAATTTCCCCCATCCATCATGTGTGACAATACAAGACACATGGTGCCAACTGAATATCCCAGAAGTAGAGCACTTTACTCTGTAGCACCAGCTGCGTTTGCTTTTCCAATAGGACACAGATAGTGAGGTGGACCTTATGGCTACCGGAGAGAGGCAGGGCAGATCAATCACAATTTCTTTTGTTGGATGTATTGACCTGTATGGCATCTTAGGGCTAATGAGTAAGCGCTGCAGATTCACTCATTTCCATACCAACGAGGATAGTAAATTTGCAGCAACACATGGCCTTTCAAAGCTGTAGCTGATCTGCAAACGTGATCTACGAAAGTTACATCCATCTTCTAATTTATATTTAAAGCCTCTGTCGTAGTTTACACATCGCCAAAAACCTCTCGTACCTGCAGCACTTAAACTTCCATTTAGGTATAACTACGCCTTAGGTATAAGTACTCTTGTCTCTGTCATATTCTCATTGCTCCAACACTGACATTAACATATTTTGCGAAAGGCTTATCCACACCCTGTATGTAACTCGCTCGGGTTCAACAAACCGCTTTATCAGACAGAAATATTGTTCGCCTGCGTGAATTACATGAACCCCTGCTCAGCTGCAGTTGTGTTACGTAAACAAATTCCCTTTATGGTTTATATTGCCATCAATAAAACGTGTGTTTCCTCTTTCCGTTGTTTCTTTGACGTTAATGAAATTCTGACTCACGAATGAAGTCATCTGGTGCCATTTAAATTACATACACTCCCTAATTTACCAGTTTGGTAACTCTTAATCTGATACCTCATTTGGTAAACAGAGACTGTCTCCATTTAATCTTCATTTTCTTCTTGGCTCTTTTAGTCTATTGTTTAGCTGGTGGCCCTGAATGGGTTCAGTTCAGTTCAGACCTACACATTAATCTCCTCAAAGGCCTGTAGGTTGTGGCTGTAGAGGAGAATGAATGGGTTAAGCTGCATAAGATCATGCTGTTCTGCTGAGCTTGACAGAAGGTTCCTGTATGTTCAAGAGAGCATTGAGGTGTCACCCACTTTTGGACCCTGCCGTTGAGCTAGCTGTGGATATTGAAGTAGTAACACCAAAAATGTAAACACACACGACCCTTGAAAGTAAAGTGTGGCAGCAAGAATTGACAGGGTCAATCCTGGCCTCACTTGTCATCTCTGTTCACCACCAAATCAAAGGTTTTTCTTGAGACACTCAACACCGTATTTTGCTTCAACGGCTTTTTATAGAAGCCACTCAGGACGTTGTAGGCCTTACACAAACTACACATGCTTTGAAAGCCAAAAAAGTTTAAAATACTGCTTCACGAAATAGAAACGCATAGGTCACTGTCGTGGTGTCAAAATGTTGGCTTCAACTTTGAATTCACCGAGGCAAAGATTCTGAGAAACAGAAACAAGTTTTTTGTTTTGATCCTCTGTTTGTACTATCCTGACTGTCCTGCAGGGTCTTTCCCACCAAGAGGCAGTGAGAGAACTTCATCTCCCCGTGACAAGAAGCGCAGATGTTATCCATGCCTTACAGGTCACATGCACAGGCCCTTATATGGACACAATACGCTGAGGAAAGACATGAAACATTGGTGTTGCTCAGCAGCTTTAGAATTAACAAGCACCTACAAACAGCCGACTGTCAGAACATTGCTGCTCTCCTGAAGCATCAAAGCACCAAACACAAGAGCAGGGAACACTTTCAGACTGCTGCACTTTATTTAGCTGCAAACCCACACACAGCATCAACTGACTTAAAAAAAAAAACACAACAGATCTTCTGATTAGGGAAGTTTTAGTGGTAAATATGTCATCTTCACAAGCAATGAGCTGTTTGCATCTCCAAAGTGACATAAAAAGAGAGCGAGCAACACTCGGTTTACTCTTCCCTCACTACCAAACAATTATAACAACTGACAGACCTGCCAACTACAAAACACAACTCACAAGTTGAAAACCAAACACCAAAACAAGCTTGTGTTTTCCACGAAGAGGAAATTACTACTCATACTTGTATCAGTATCCGTTTGGTACCAGTAAGGAAGGGAAAAAAGACAAAAAAAAAAAAAAAAAATTGATGTTCCCTGTGGTTACTACAGGTAAATGCAGAACACAAAGCCCAAAATATGTGCTTGGTGCTTGTGACCCGAAGCTCAATTACTGATCTACAAGTAAAACACACAAAAATCAGGAGACTCATACACACAACACACAGACAAAAGAACAGCAGCAATTACGTTGGTAAGTAATGATTTTTGTCCATTGAAGAGAGATGAAACATTAAACCAATCACACAGCATGTTTCCTCCCTGAAGAAAAACTAGAAGGCATTTTAGCATATTTTCTCCCATTGTCATAATTAATAGATGACATTGGTGGAACTTAATCATCATCAATCAAGTTAATCACCACTTTCTTAAGTGATTCATAAGACAGAACTTTGTAGTTTAAACTGGAACCACAACACAGATAGATGAGCAACACAACCAGCCTCTATAAGTTAATCATTAGCCTGTGTTTTTCTTATTAAAACCCATTTAAAAAGGTAGCTGGATGGTGTGACACTTTCCCCATGTGCCGTCTTCATGACTGAGTGCCTAAGAAGCCAAAAGGCATGCTGGACCCTCCCTCACTGATTCATAGATCTGTTTGCTCTAGGCTGGCCCTCCACTCCAGGGGTCCCACGGCCCCTTTTGTTACCGCTGTATGTGGCTGAAGAGCAATTCCGCCCCAGCACACAGCATAGCAACAATACAAATAGATAATAGACTACATCAAAACCCGAAACGGCAAGAATTTTGTGGAATGAGCTCTGCTCCCAATGCATAAATCCCAAATCCCCACAGTGATGGTGTGTGGATGTTTTTGGTAATCGAATGTTCTCATCAGAGACCAGTGATGAAAAACAAAATGACTTAAAAAAAAAAGTAATAAAAAAATAATAATAATAAGTGGTTGTTTAAAAACAAGTTGCTCGCCATGAGAAACAAACCAATGATGGCCAATTTTTTTTCTCCATCAATTCCTATGAATGTAAGAGACTCCGTTTCGTCAGTACACTTCTACATTCCTTCACCATACAAGCAAAATATGCAAACAAAAGACTTCAGAGGACCTTTCTAACAATTCATTCCGCCATTTCACACCTACAATTAAAATTTCATCACTTCCTACTTCCACTTCATATCTCCATAAACAGACCATTTTGTACTTGAACCACGGTGTACGAGTTCATTTTTCACAGTAGTTAGGTATTTTCTTATGGTTATAAAAATGCTCAAGTCTCATATACATAATTTAAGTTGGTATCATTATATTAAATCTTTGCATTACTGTCATAAAATATGAACCCTTATCAAATAAAAACAGCTCTAAGTGGCTCCCGTATGACACATAAGTCACATAACCACATCATGCTGTTTACAGTAGACTGCAAAAAGCTTATAAGACATTACTTTAAACTGTCGACTGTTGTGGGAAGTGGGAAGTAAACCCCAGCGGGGACACCAGAGCAGACTACAAATCGAGTCAAATTAAGCAAATCTGCAAATGTATAAAATGCCCAAGAAACTTAAGCTTTGAAGAGTAGAAACATCAAATATGTTTGATAAGCTTTGACAAGGTTGTGTTCTTTTTCAATCAAGCCATATTTTATTCTGTGAGCCCAAAGCAATCCCCCAACCCCTACTGTGACGTCACGGGATGAAGCAAATACCTTGCTAGCATATGATGGGATGTGGAGGGTGACAAAGCATAACAAAATAGCCCAAATTTTATTTCACTTCATGTTTTTGATTATTTTATTATGAAAACAAACTATAAATAATATTTTTTTTAAAAATTCTTGTCATTCGGCACATTTAATTTTACTTTTAAATATTTAGAATGCACATTAATGTAGGTCTGAAAGGGGGAAAAAGTACATCTGGTTAAGTGAAACATAGAGCCATGATTCATTATAAAACACTTCAACGTAACACAATTGAAATCACCAGACAATCGCGTGTTCCTGCGGGATTTCTTCTGCCACGGTGGGATTAATGTTCGCTGCAGCCAATGAAAAGTCAGAGGAGAAATCAATTCGGCGCATGTTTGAAACGAAACATGCAAACTTTTATTCAAGCCACAAAACAGCCGCACCGGTACTTTGAAGCGGTTGGTGCATTTTCAGACGAGTAGAGTAACGAGCAGAGTCTTTTACAAGCAGCATGACTGAGAAATAAGTTCGCCTCCAACTCACCGTTTAATGTTTCCTCTACCTGCCGCTGCATTCACGTGTTCCTCGTGCTCAGTGCTTGTTACAGTAAAAAAAAATGGACAAAACAGCTCCAGCCACAAGGTAGGATTTTACTTGCATTAAAGAATCTTCTTCCACGACATTATCCGAGCAAACGATCCCGGGACGGAGCGGTAAGAGACTGCGGACTCCTCCCAGACAATGTGGGGTTAAACTCCTCCTTCCTTCCCGCGGACACTGATGGGGGATGGCCTATGCTTGAACGCTACACTGAACACAGGTGGAGCTGCCCGTATAGGCATTAAAAAAAAAAAAAAAAGGATCAATCAGCGGTTGCTGGAGATATATTTAGGGAAGGAAGCGAAAGTACCTTCTGCAACATACATATCTGGATAAATAAAATAAAAAATATGGGATTTTACTTATAGTTTTACATAAAAGTTTCTTTTTTAGCATCTTTTGTGTTTTTTTTTTCTTTCTGTTTCACATTTTGCCTATGTAAAATCTGATTTGTAAGAGTTGTCTTCAGTTGTCCATCCACAGGGACCTAAAGATTGGTAGTTGGTGTATTTTATGCAAAGATGCACCAAAAAATCAGCTTGAGATTGGAATTGATCTGATTTTCACCTGGATTGGTTCAGAGAGGACAGTTGGAAACTCAAAAATTCCATATTTTTCTCATTCACAAATGCAGCATACTTAGTTACAAGACTGCAGCACCAACAATATCCTGCATGGATGCTACTGAGAAAGTAAAATTATTGACTCTCTATCATCAGTAAGATATTTAAAATTAATTTAGAGTAAGCAAAGAGATTTATGATGCTCTTTAGAAGGAAACTATTTCCAGCAATCAGAAAGTCTCTTGAGATGTATAACGAAGTTGTTCTATTTCATACTTAGCGGGTTTTAATTTCTACTATGGAACATATGCTATAGGAAACATTGGTGGCATTTTGGATATTTTAGAATTAAGGTAAGGATTAGTAACCTTAGTTATTTGGCCTTTGGGGATAAAAGAAGTTGTTCTGTTCTTGATACTGATTCTAAAGTCAAGTGGAAATGTCTCGGAATATAAATGATTGATTTATCAAGGCAGGAAAGGTGGGAAAAATTAGCTGAATACCAACTTGTCATATCTTCTTGGATGGAAACTCTTAAAGGGAATTAAGTATCGACATTGCCAATGGCAAGTTCCCAAAAACTGGAGATTGGAAGTCAGACACTAAATTCTGATTGGTTCATCTCTGAATTTGTCCTCAGGAAGTCTGCATTTGATGCAAACATTGCTGATGAGATATTAATACTCTGAAGCGGAGTATAGATAAATCTCTGGACACCCCCTAAATAACACCAATATTCAGGTCGCCATGTCCTCAGCTTCCACCTAGCCTCTTAACAGTCTTCACACAGTGCTATCTTTTAAAGTCTGGCAACCATTACAGGACTAGAGCTGGATTAGATTCATGAACTGATGCCAGAACACGGCCAAATATGCCAGCAGTTGCTTGCAATCTTCCTTATTTAACTGTCTACTCAATTAGAATACATTGTAGCTGCATACTTCTGTGTAATTTCATCTCTGCTGTTTACAGCAATTTTGTTTAGTTGTTTATCTCCAGCTTTACTCTACAGGCATTTCCTTTTTAAAAGTGTTGCTGCTTCCCTCCAGAAGAGTACATTTATGCTCCTTACTGGAACAGCTTTCAGCCCTTTACTTTTCAATTTTACTTAACAAGAGGAACAAGATGATGCATACTTTGCATAGCACTAATGAGTCCATCTGTCACAAGGATCAATGAATTGATGGCCAGGCCGATAAGAAACAGGTTTGAGCTCCTCAGACAATCGGACAGCATGCTTGCGCTGGTGGCCATTACTATTTTTAAACCTAGTTTCTCCCTTTTGTTTTTAATGGTTACTTCTCTAAATGCCTCCGCTCCCAGATTCCCTGATTCGCTCTCTTCTCCCCATTGTCGTAAGTTCTGGGTTTTGTCGCGTAGCTCTTTGGCCGGACTTACACTATCTCCACATCAGCCTCTTTACAGCTGCCATACAACGAGGGCCCAAATGAAGATGCTTATCTCTCCTCCTCCCATTGTAACAGCAGATCCCATAACACTCGGCTCCTTTTATCAGGATCCGTCTACACAACAAGCAGCCTTTCATCCCCCTACAGTTTGGATATAGCCGTTGGGATTTAAGCTCCAGGAGGTCACGACAGTTGCCTTCAGATCTACATATCTTGTTTTTCACATTTTCAGATGTGTAAAAAGAATCATTCAAGTAAATAAATATTGAAAGAATTTGAATCACTACAAATTGAAAAGTGATTATGGCCAAATTGCAAATTCTTGTTTAACGGACTTTGATGTTCTGTTGGTAAAGAACCAGTATAAGGGTATCAATGTGTCTGAAGTATTGGTACCCTTAAAGTTTTACACATTTTATATTTAATTAGAATTACATGTGATGAACTGACACAAAGCAGCAGAAAATGTAAAAGTGGAAGGAAAAATATATGATTTTCAACATTTGTTACAATTAAAAGCGTGAAAGTTGTATTTACCAACCATACGCTCACACACAAACTGATACCTTTAAATAAAATCCTGACCAATCACTGTCTTAAGTCACCTAATTGGTTAAAAAGTCCACCAGTTTCTATCTTAATTGCAACATACTGTAAATAAAGGTGTTTGTGAAGGCCGCCGAGGTTTGTTAGAAAACATTAGTTAATAACCAGCATTGTGAAGACCAAGGGACACAGAGATGTAGTCATAGAGGAGTTCAATCCTGATTTAAAATAAATAAAACAATGCCAAAGACTTTAAACATCTCACAGAGAGATGTTCAAAATGGGAAGAGAATGGCACAACTATAAAGCGAATAAAAACATGTCAGAGCTCCTTAACTGACAACAGGTAAGGAGAAGATCAACCAGAGAAGCAGCCAAAAGTTTCATTGTTACTCTGAAGGGGCTGCGCAGTTGGACTCAACAGGAAAACTAGTAACCGTGAACTCCACAAATCTGGCCTTTATTAAAAGAAGAAGAAAGCCTCAGGGATTCCTGGTTGCAATGAGCCAGAGACACAACAATGTGAAAGTCGATGCTGTGGTCCGATAAGACCAACATCGACATTTTCTGGCCTGATGGCAACAGTCAGAACCACGGTGGCAGCTGGTTGTCCTGGGTTGGTTCTGCACCAAGTTTGCATGTTTTTCTCATGCAGGCTTAGGTTCTCTCCTCAAACCTTGAACTCATGCTTATGCCTATTTTTACTTCCACGGTTATGCACCGATTATATTGCTCTATCAAATAAAATCTCAATGGAATTAATCAAAGTTTGTGATTGTAACTTCACAAAATGGGAAAATAGCTAACAATTCAGCTCATATGAATACTTTCGGGAGACATTGTCCACACAAAGCTGACTGGAATGAACCTGGTAGCTTTCGGCATTGAATATTCTCGTGTAAAATAATTGGCTCTAAACAACATCCTACAGCAAATAGCTTACAATAACTCAGTCTGCTGGTCAGTTGCAGACAATTGTACAGCTCCCATAGGAACTATAGGAACTGGAATAAATCTCTGGTAATGTCACTTTATTGGTTTAAAAGACGTCAGGGAGCAGAAAAAAAAAAAACGGTGAAATCAGCCAAAATGTTCTATTTTATGCTGACAGACACAAAAGTGGGTCACAGCCAGGCAGACAGATAGGACCTTCCGTAATACACACACACACACGCTCACACACACTAATCAACACCTCAGCCTCACTTCTGGGTCTTCAAATAAGTGTTTCCAATACTTCCATTGCAGCTATTCTGACAATCACTGCACTGCTCTACCCTCGCTCCCGCACTAATAGGGTTGTCACAGTATGTGCGTGTTGCAGTGACAGAAACCGAGAGAAAAACCTGCAAATCTCACGCAAAGTATTGCAATCACGACCAGCCGAAGGAGGGTGGGCCTACTCAGCATCCACGTGTAGTTACAGCTCTCACATTTACTCTGGGCGACTTGTTTCAGCTGGACAAAAAGGCTCCTAACGGGTTACGTTTGCCAGAAACAAAAGGCAGAAGTTATCTGAAGGTGTGTGTGTTTGCCAGACAAAAGGAGGTATTTAGCTCTGGTAACATTAACCAGCTACACCCTTAAACAACTACTCACTAGCTTCTGAAAATAGCAGCTTAAACATAAAAAACAAAAAACAAAAACAATTGAAATGAACAGATGAGGGAGATGTTTTCCCAGAAAGGGCTTGAAGACGCCTGTGTAGAGGCTGGGTAAGAAAAAAAAAAAAAAAAACTGGGCCATGTTGGAAAGGCCTTTAATTGAACACGACAGGTCTGATCCAAGTGATAGTTCGCACCCTCCTGCGGGTCAAACTAATGAGAAATCGATGACGACAACAAGTGGACTTCTCACGCCAGGGTCATTTAGCGCTTTACGAGTGAACGCAGAGCACTTAAGCGCCCTAATTTAACTGTGATTTCAATGTAATTGAATGAAAGAAAACATTTTTTTTTTTTTTTTAAGTCAAGTGTGTTAAATGCTTCTTGAGCTGCAAAGCTGTTAGTATTACTCAGCTGAAACTTATCTGGGAAAAAAAAAAAAAAAATCCCAGAGTTGAAGGTAATGGCTGATGGAGCAGACTGGCAGAGAGCTGTCTGTGGCTTTTTTTTTTATCAGAGAATGTATAAACCTGGGTGGGAAACCGCCTGTGTGAAGGATTTGTCCCTCACACATTGCATCATCTGTCTACCTGTCTGTCAGCCACATTTGTCATTACTGGGAAGAAATGGAGGCCAGCAGGAAGAGGAGACGGCTGAGGTGTCGTTGATTGCCTCGTGTCTGTGGTGAAGACATGATGTTCTTTATGCTGCTGCATGTGGAATAAAGGATTTACACGGCTGCTTAATAAACAACGCAGGACTTTTGAGAAACAGGTTTTAGCTGCACGAGTTTAGCTTCACGTTCCATAAAATAGGATAAATGAATTTGTGTCAGGCTGCGGACCGTGTATATGTGGAGCAGGTCTCTTTGGAATGGACTTACTTTTGTCTTTCTTCAGTTGTGTTTCTGCTTCCACCAACTTCACTCATTGTGCCAGTAGCTTTCTGACCCATCAGTCAGGGACTATACTGTTATCCATACACCATAATGGGGAGGCTGAAAACAATCTACAGAAATTTATTATAGGATGTGTAAAATCTACTTTATTATCGCACTAAAAAAAGAAGCTGGACTGTGTTAAAGAAAAAAAAAAAAGGTTTCG